GTCAAAATTTATCAAAATTTGTCATTATTAACCCCTGATATTATATATTTCTTTCATTCTTTCCTTCACTCAGTAAACGTTATCACTCGGTCACCATGAATGTCCACCTATAGACGGCAGCACCAACAAGTGCACCGGCACGCAGAATACACTTGGCTAATCTCACTCGGGTATTTCCCTCGTTTCTAACAGTCTCTCTCGTTTACAATAAAAACTTGTGCATTCACCATATTTCTTGTTGGAAGGCAATAAAGCAAATAAAAAAACTGATTGCTTTAAAAAATCACTCAATGACAGTCGCTCGTCATGTGCAGCCCCGATTATAATGTATCCCTACTATATATGATGTATAACCTAGCCTATTAACACATATACTTGCTATACACTTACAGCATAAATAATTGTTTATCTAATTTATTCAGACGATGTTATTTTTCGTTTGTTTGAAGGTGATGTAATAACACTGTTGCTGTTACACGCCGTTTATTTGATTTCACGTCGAAGAAGCACGTGATACAATGATCGCTTACGATAAAAGAGTATTTTATATAAAGAATAGTGTTGGGTGACTTGGATATCATAGAGTTATTCTTCAAAAAAGCAGCATTACTGCTGAGGAATATGTATTTTTCGCCTATAGTAGGGCACGGGCATGGTCTCCACTGCAATGTAGGGCCCGTGACTGTCGCAGCTCATATAGGTGTTAGCAGATCACGTTCGCGAATCGTTTTTCGACGTTAATTCTATAACAGTTCTTCTGCTAAGATTACGTCCAGTTTTGGACCGTACATTATAATAATTTATACATTATAATAATACCGTATATTAATAATTTTAGATACCCCATCCTAATCTATCTACATTGGCGAGGATCTTTTACACGGTATTGTATTGTACGATAGTTTGATTTACAGCTAAAATTATAGAGTGTATATTTGTCATCATTTATGCACATTTGTTTATATTTTAGAACACACATGCGTACCAAAAAGGTTCCCAAACTGCTGCTTTGACAGTGCGATACCACTGTGTGCGATACAGAGTAAAGATATTATTAAAATAGCACCCGCTAGATGGCACTCGTGGTTGTAATTTCTGACGCCTGCGCACTGTGAGCCTCCTTGAAAACCAGGTAAGATTTTATATTAATATCAATGTTAGAATCCAAGTATTTATGTGTAAGTTCGCATCATCATAATTTGTCAATATAGCAGGTAGATAAAGCAATAATAGTACATTTATATGCGGTAAAGTATTAAACTATTTTATTGATATTTGAAGTGTGAGATCGTCATTTGTAACCATGTCAATATGCCGGTTTGAGTGTAGGTTAAACTTTGTAACACTAAAGGCCAAGACACACTACAGCGACAGCGACCGACCGTAACGATAAACGACAAAGTCGCGGCGA